CCTGCGCTGCCGCTGCCCGCCCGGCTTCACCGGCGACTACTGCGAGACGGAGATCGACCTCTGTTACTCCAGTCCCTGCGGCAGCAACGGGCGGTGCCGGAGCCGCGAGGGCGGCTACACCTGCGAGTGCCACGAGGATTTCACCGGTGAGAGCGCGGCGCCTCCCTATCTCGGCCCTCCCTGCTGCCACCTTGTCCCCTTCAGCCCTCCAGTGGTGATCCTGTCCTCTTGGTGTTCATCTCTGTCATCCATTCAAACAGTTCCCCACCATCTACCCCTTCTCGGCTGTCCCTCCATCATCCATCCATCCCTCCATCATCCATCCATCCCTCCATCATCCATCCCTCCCTCCATCATCCATCCATCCCTCCATCATCCATCCCTCCCTCCATCATCCATCCATCGCTCCATCATCCATCCATCCCTCCATCATCCATCCCTCCCTCCATCATCCATCCATCCCTCCATCATCCATCCCTCCCTCCATCATCCATCCATCGCTCCATCATCCATCCATCCCTCCATCATCCATCCATCCCATCCTCGTGGTGTCTATCCCCCATCATCCCTTCACCCAACTCCTCTTCATCTACCCCTTCCTTGGCTGTCCCTCCATCGTCCATCCCTACCGTTCCTTCCTCCAGCTCCTCTTCAGCCCTCCATCATCCATCCATCCCATCCTCTTGGTGTCCATGCCCATCATCCCGTTATCCAGCTCCTCTGCAGTCCTCCATACTCTATACTTTCTTCTGCTGTCCCTCCCTCATCCATCCTCATCATCCCTTCTTCCTCCTTCCCTTCAGCTCTCCATCCCCTCAGCAATCCTTCACCCCACTCCTCCTCAGCCCTTCATCATCCACCGCTTCCTCAGCTCTCTCCATCATCTGTTCCCATCATCCCTTCATCCCTCTCCCCTTTGGCTCACCACTGCCTGTCCCTTCCTCTAGTGTCCCTCCATCATCCATCCCCGTCATCCCTTTGTCCCACTCCAGTCCTCCCATCAGCCTTCACCCCATTCTCCATCAGCCTTCCTCATCCGTACCCCTTCTTCTGCTGGCCGTCCCCCATCCAGCGTGGTCAGCCCTTCATCCCGCTCCCCTTCAGCCCCGTCATCCGTTCCTTCTTCAGCTGTCCCTCCATCAGCCATCCTCCGTTGTTCATCTCTCCATCCCTCCTCCATCTCGCCTCCATCCCTCCATCCATCCCTCCATCTATGTTTCCTCCATGCCTCCATCCTTCCCTCCATCCATCCCTTCCTCCATCCCTCCTCCATCCCTCCTCCATCCCTCCATCCATCCCTCCATCCATCCCTCCATCTATGTTTCCTCCATGCCTCCATCCATGCCTCCATCCATCCCTCCATCCATCCCTCCTCCATCCCTCCATCCATCCCTCCATCTATGTTTCCTCCATGCCTCCATCCAT